GGAGAGGTTTTAGCATAGCTAGGTGTTTTGGGTTGTGAAGGTGTTGGAGAACGTACTGAAGAGTAAGGATCAAAAGGAGTAGCTAAAGCTGTTTGGTAGTTTGGTCGGATATTTCCTAGTGTGGATCCTAATGGAGTGAATCTGTTTGTAATGGCGAGGGCCGATGAAGAGTCGGGAATAGACTCTTGTTTTACTGGTGCTGGGGTTTGGGTGAGAGTGGCTGGAAGCCTTCTTTGATTAGGATTGGAACCCATTCTTCCCCTGCAAAATTCTCTGGTCAGAAAATCTGGTATGCTATTCTGGCTGCCTTTAATGTATTTAATATCAAAATCAAAAATACTTAATATGGCTTGCCAGCGTGCAAAATTTTGTTTTGATGCAATATTTTGAACATCCTTTTGTAAAACATGTTTTGCAGATTTGCAATCAACACGAACTAAAAATTTTTGATTTAATAAATCATCTTGGAATTTGCTAATGCATAATACAATTGATAAAATCTCTTTTTTAATAGTACTATAGTTACTTTGAGCCGGATTCCAAATTCCTGAATGGAAACGAACAATTTGTTCAGGAGATTCGGAAGAAGTTTTTTGTTTGAGGATACCTCCATAACCGATATCAGAAGCATCGGTCTCGACTATTTTGAGAGAGCCGGGAGTTGGAATGCCAATGCAAGGTAAAATCTTGACATGATTCTTTATCTGTTTGACAATGGAATTATGATTTTGAGTCCATGATGGAGGATTCTCCTTAAGACGATCAAACAAAGGTTTACATTGTTGACGAAGATGAGGATAAAATTCTGAAACATAATTGAGAGAACCAAGGAATCTTTGAAGCTGGGTTTTATCAATAATTTGATCTGGAAATTTATCAGCAAACTGGATGACTCGATCAATTGGCTGAATGGTAGACCTGTAAATATGGTATCCTAAGAATCTAACTTTGGTCTGAAATAACTTAATCTTAGATGCCGAGACTACTAACCCATTAGACTTAATGATCCTAGCAAATGCATGCAAATGCTTCCAATGCTCATCTATTGATTTTGAGAAAATTAATACATAAGCAATTGAAAAATGGCGAATAGAATCTAATAAAGATTTGTTTGTTAATTGTTCTTCAATTCTTTTGTGAAGAATTTCTTCCTGTAAAAAAGCAATTTGTTGGGATTTTGCAGTAATCTGGTTGAGAGTTTTTGAAACATTATCCTTTTGTAGTTGTTTTAACTTTTTAAGATCTGTTTCTATGCAAAATTCAAAAGTAATCTTTTGGCCAAAAACCTTTGTTGAAATACAGTTGTGATGAACTTTAAAAGGATAAATTAATGCAATGAAAGGAAGACCCAAAATAACTGGATCAGAAATATTTTTAATTAAAACGAATGGAGTTTTAAAACAAACATTTTGTTGACAAACATGGGCTTTGGGGATCTCATATTTTAAATTCATTGGGGATTGATTAGCAGCGCTAAGTACCTCAGTTGATTTGTGATAATACTTTGTAGGTATTAACCCTTCTTGAATGCAATTTAAATCTGCGCCTGAATCAATTAAAGCGATGGTTTCTAAAGAAAAATCGTCAATTATTATTTTGATTTTTGAATACCATTTTCTAATTCTAATTTTGTCTAAAAGACTTAAAACAAGGTCCTTTGAAGAAGAAGATTTTTTCGAGTGAGTGTCGGAATCGGAATTTGAGGAAGAATTACCTTGTTCTTCTACAAGCGCTTGTGTACGTGTTCTACTGAGTTGTGAACGAATTTCGGTATTTTCTGATTTTAAAAACTTAATTTCTGATTTAATTTGATTAATTTCTTTTTGTAAATCCTGGATGGTTAAATCCTTTTTTGGTTTATTAAACCGTTCCAAAGTGGTGCTGAGAGAAATCTTTTGAGAAGAAATTTGACTAGTGCCAGGTTCATGAGAAGAAATCAAATTTTTGAGTTTTTTCAAATAAAAAGATTTTAAATCAGGGTCATCGACTTTACTAATTAATTTCATTAAAAACTCTTCTTGTTCTTCTTGCTTATTAAGCACTGAAATTTTATTACAACAAGCGTCCGTGCACCCAAACTTAATGTTTGGCGAGGAGACGTCGCTAGAACTGCTAGAGTCAGAGACGGAAAAATCGGGATTTTTATCAGATTGACTAGAGTCGGTATTTCTAATTTCTAAAGCCTGAATATATATATATATATATATACACACACGATAAAAGGGAAATGACCCACTCACCTTAGGTCCGCCCTACAACTCCTAAGCACGAATATCGAGACGTCACGAATGATCCTCACGTAGAACAATTATTCAGTCACGTCTCAAAACTCTTATCCATAGAACCCATAATTTACATAAAACACATCCCAAGGACATTCTATAATGATTTGAGATCCATTGACCAAAAGTCAACCTTTGGTCAAAGATTAACAGTAGGGTCCACTACCCTACGTAACTCAATCCAGAAGATTCGCATCTCGGATTTCTGATCCGAAACTTCTAAAGATCCACATTATACTTTTAGAACATAATACTAAAGTTTCATTACGATTCAACGATTGGATCTCCGCCAATTGCCAGTTCAAGTGACGGTCAACGTTTTATTTTACGAACTTACAAATCCAATTTAGGAAGATCCGTATGTCAGATTTCCAATCCGTAAGTTTCTAATATCCTCAAATATTACATACCATAATGTATTTAAATCTGGTGACGATCCAACGGTCGGATCATCAATTCATGCAAGGACCTCTTAATGGCTAGCTAGGTGGTCAACTATGAAACTATATTAAACATCATAATTTCACTAAATGGATGTCAAATATGGAATCGGGCTTCAAAATTAGCCTAGGAAGGTCAGGTGGAGTCTCGCCCACGCACTGCCACAGTTTGCCGGAAAATTCCACTATTTCTAAAAACTCTCAAATTTCACAGAAATGAAGATCTCAAAGAGAGGAACATCTTTCATCCCTGCCACGAAGTCCAAAAGTGGACAGAAGATGGTCAATTTTGCCCACAAAGCCGGCGGGTGCCTAAAGCTTCCCAATGTTGATTCGTAGGGCTGGAAAAAATTCCCGAAATTCCCAAACCAAACCGAAAAAATCCCGAACCCAAATAGAAAAATCCCAAACTGAAACCATCCCAAAGTTCGGTAATCCCGTCCTGAAAAATACTGAAATATTCGATATGGGATTGGTTTCCAAATCCCATATGTTCGGTATTCCCGAAATCCCAAAACGTTTTGTTTCTTTAGCTTTCAGTTCACACTTCCCAACTCAAAAGCGGAAGCCTTTTGGCTCCCACTAACAGAAGGCACAAAAAATAATATTAAAAAAAAGGGAAGGCACAAAAATAATATTAAAAAAGAAAAGGCACAAAATTGGTTTTTGGCTTTCGGTTCTCACACTTCCCAACTCAAAAGCAGAGGGTTTTGGCTCCCACTAACAGAAGGCACGAAGAACAGCTCTCTTAGGGTTGAGAAGCAGAGAGAGGAAGGAGCTACCACTGAAAGCTCTTGAATTTGGTTTTGACTCCTGAGACAGAAAGCAGCACTCTTCATGTTGAGAAGCAGAGAGAGGAAGGAGCTACTGCCGAAAGCTCTCTCAAATCTTCGAAGCTCGACCTATCTTCTCTATCCTCTATGAAGCTTTCTCTGAATTAGGGTTCGAATTAGTATTTATAAATTAGGGATTTACTATTTAGAGCTTTTAATTGTTTCGATTTAGATTTGGATTTGGATTTCTTGATTAATTTTATGGGGATTTCTGGATTAATTTTATGTGGATTTGGTTGATTTGGATTTCTGGATTTCCATGGTCGATTTCTGCTTTGCATGTTCGATTTCTTTTCTGCTTTGCATGCCCGATCTACAGGTATCAGATTCTTCCATTAACAAGAAGCCAAATTTCTATTGAATTGGAATCCCGAAACCATACCGAAATTCAGAAAATATTTCAGGAATACCGAACTTCGGGAATACCGAAATTTTGATTTGGGATCGGGATTTAGATTTTCATCCCAAAAAGGATCGGTTTGGGATTCCGGATATAATTTTCGGATCGGGATCCCATATCGATCCAGCCCTATCGATTCGTCATCTACGGTGGTCCAACGAGGTCAAGGTTGGTTGGGATTTTCTCCTGGGATGATGGGCTACAAAGCCTAAGTGGTGGCATCGGCCATTACTTTGCCGATTCGCCGGAAAATTGAAAAGAGTGGCCGAACATGGTTTTGACGCGTCGAATTTTGTGGCTTTGCCCCGCCACATGTGGTGGTTTATAAAGGTGGTTCTTGGTTGGGTTTCGTAGAGGGGAATGAGAGCTTCAAGATGGTGGTGGTGGCGTCGAAAAACTCCATCGGAGTTGGCTGGAATTGGCCTTAGAAAATGGAAGGTCGCGAATGTGGTTTTGGGTTGTGCACGGGAAGGAGAAGCTGGGAGCTTCTCTCCCTTTCTCTGATTGGCTGTTGCCCTCCTTCCTCCCATTCTAATTGGTCACTCACTCCTTTATCTAATTGGTCTCTTATTAACACAAATCTAATTGGGCCACTTTCCGACAAGGTGGGAATTCAAATAATTTATAACTAAACTTTAAATAACCATTTTTAAATGTCCATAACTATACCGTTATAATCTAGACTCGCAAACGGCCTTCGCCTATGCGTTCGTACCAATGAGTACTACGATGATACGCTAAAAAAAAAGTCCCACATCTCTCAAACCGAAGGTCAACAGAAGTCAAAGTTCTTACCTCTAGGGTATTTTCGTAAATTCACGCTTTTAAAATTAGAGATGAGTTGCCAAACCCTCAGTTGGAGATAGTTTTTATTTTCACAGAATTATATTTAACCTATAACCATGCATTGTTTATTAAAATATTAATTTATCCTTCTAATCCCCCTTGCGCTGAAGAAGGCCGAAGTTGCAGCAATAGAAAGCCCAGCCCAAATGACGGGCATCGGCGAAAAGGCAAAAGAATGTTAGTTGTGGGTACACGTGGTTGATTGTGCACTTCTTATTTTTGTGTTACAGACTGACATTGCCCATCTAGCTCACGAACAAAATTAACCTCTCTCTCTCTCAAATCTTCTTCCCTTCCCTTCGCGCTGCAAACCTCCTCAATCTGATTCACCTTCTTCAACCAACCGCTCCCTCAAATTGTAAGCTCTCTCCCTCTCCCTCTACCGATTTAGTTTTCTTCTGGATTATTTGTTTGGCTTTCATTTGGGTTGTTGATGCTTTTGCTGTTTTCCCTCAACTGATTTGATATTCCATTTTTGTTGATTTTAGAATAATTGTTGATGTTTTTGGCTTTTTAGTTTGCAATTTTGCATTGATTTGAATGGGTTTACTTGTTTGAAGCTGCAGTGCACCCAATTTGATTGGATATTGAAGACAAGGGCGGAAGGAGAGGCATTCCTTCCTTGTTTAAGATTATTCTTGCTTGCAGGTTGCACCACTGGTCGGTTGGTAATTTCAAGCGGTCAAATTTTTATTTTTATTCTTTTAATATTTTGTGTGAATATGTTTGGTACTCTGCAACTGGGGAACTGGGTTACTGGGGTGGGGGCTTTTACGTTCGAGTTCCGGGTGCTTGATTTTATAACTTATAAGCATGCTTAAATTCTCATGTGTAATACATGTGCTTGCTTGTTTCTGAGTTGACAGAAGAAATGTATGTAACAGTTTTGATATCTATTCCCCGGAGAGGGGAGTAGTGGTCAACCGGGGCTCAAGCAAAGGTTTAGAGAGAGAAAGAATGGAGGAGTGCTCGACCGGGGCTCTAGTCCCGGCAGTGAAACCAGATCCAAAGGCGTCAAGTGTCACGGATTTGGCAGATCCAGGCAGCGGTAACGTTTGTCGTCTGGTGCATGAGAAAGAACTGGCAGAGGTAGACAAGGACTTGTTATGCCCAATTTGTATGCAGATGATAAAGGACGCCTTCCTTACAGCGTGTGGTCATAGCTTCTGCTACATGTGCATCATCACCCACCTCCGCAACAAGAGCGACTGCCCTTGCTGCGCCCAGTTCCTCAGTGCCAAACAATTGTTCCCTAATTTTTTGCTGGACAAGGTTTCCTCTCAAATTCCCACTCCTTCAAGATGAAAAATGATATACTTGGAACTGCAGCTTACTGTTATATGCCATGTACTGTAGCTTCTGAAGAAGACTTCCGCTCGTCAAATTTCCAAAAGTGCATCTCCTGTAGAGCATTTTCGCCAGGCATTGCAGCAGGTGAGTCTGGCTGTACGAGTCAAGTAAAATAACATATTAATTGTCGTTTGCTGTCTGAATGTGGTGTTGTGCTGTAATAGGGATGTGAAGTGTCAATCAAGGAACTAGACACCCTGTTGGCACTCCTGGCAGAGAAGAAGAGGAAAATGGAACAAGAAGAGGCGGAGAGAAATATGCAAATACTGCTTGACTTCTTGAATTGCCTAAGGAAGCAAAAAGTTGACGAGCTTAGTGAGGTTTCTTTGTATACTCTTGGCGTTATTTGAAATATTTGATTGAACTGAATTAAATGGTATCTGTTACTAATTCAATTGATTTTATATTGCAGGTGCAAACCCATCTCCAATTTATCAAAGAGGACATAGGTGCAGTAGAGAGATGCAGAATGGACTTGTACCGTGCCAGGGACAGATACTCTGTCAAGCTGCGGATGCTTGGAGCGGATGATTCTATTTCTGGGGCAAGAAAGCAATGGCATTCCTCTCCAGATAACAACACCGGTGCGCTTAGTGGACGAGGAGGGATGTCATCTTGGAATCTTCCGAGAAGGGATGCTTTAAGTGCATCAGACTCCCAGTATCTAACTCAAACTGGTCTTGCCGTAGCCAGAAAAAAGCGGGTCCATGCACAGGTCAGTGACAGTCCTGTAATGATTATAGACTATTTTTGCACTTTATGTGCGTCTATCTTATGGTGAATACACTTGTCCCGGGGGATCATTGCTATTATTTAGACATTAGATGGTGGTTAATATGGGCAACCCCCTCAATCATTCCAAACCTGTTTCTCATTTGCTCCTCAACAAAAGCCACCTGAATTGTAGTCTACAAATGCATTAATATAGCTCTCTGTCAATTTGGCATGAAATCAATACTTACACTGGGTTTTGGTTATGGGGTTTCTGGACTTTAGTTGAGTTTACGTTTATTTTTGGGTAATTGTTATTAGAACTCCAAAATAGTCACTCCGCACCCCTCCCTACCTTATTTTTTTTCATTGGAGTGGAGAATGAATTTTTTTGGACTGCCAACGCCTGTACTGATCAAGTTAATTGAATTTAAGGTAAGCTAGACCCTCCTCATTTTTATGGTTGTCTTGGTTTGTTCTCGTTCCATCCCTGGCTGTAGTTTGATGAACTTCAAGAGTGTTACCTGCGAAAGCGGTGTCAGATGGCGAACCAACCATACTCCCAGCAAGAACGGGACAAAAGTGTAATACAGAGAGAAGGTTATACTGCAGGTCTTGCTGATTTTCAAACGGTGCTCACTACATTAACACAGTACAGGTATGATATCAGATATTGGATCCCTTACAGAAATTTACTTTTCGTTTGGGTCAACATTCAGATATACAGTTTTATTTACTATAATCACCATTCTGTTTTGTTTGCTATGAAACAGTCGAATGAGGGTCATGGCTGAACTTAGGCATGGGGATCTATTTCACTCAGCCAATATAGTATCCAGGTGATTAGTTATGTTGCATATCATGTCTAACTTTCAGAATTAAATGTCTTGATTCATTATAGATGAAATATGTTCTGGAGAAGTTGTTACTGGTATTGTTAACCTCATACAGTTGTTCACATTCATTGCAGCATTGAATTTGATTGTGATTACGAGTTATTTGCTACTGCTGGAGTTTCACGGTGCATAAAAGTTTTTGACTTCTCTTCGGTATGATTTTGATTTTACGATTGTTTTTACCCTTCCAGCAACATTATTTTTCTGTCGACAGTCAGTATTGTCAACTTCTAAAAGAAAGGGTGTTCAGATACTTTTGGTTTCTTGAGTGCATTGCCTAGTCAACTACTAAAAGAAAGGGTTTTAAGATATTTTCAACAAAGACAAATTGCTTTATTTTTTGATTGTTTGAATGCCTTCCTCTAATATAACAATAGAGTATTGACTCAATACAAAAGTTGATTTTACTCGGTACATTTGAACAAATAGACTTAGATTAACCATTGAACAATTAGCCAATTTAAAGAAAATTACATAAATAATAAACATTCATGTATGCTTTTGCAAAAAATCTATCATAATATTTTTTTTCCGGGAGTATGAAGAATATTTGTTGGTGCCAGACGCAAAATCCTTATACCAAAATTCCATGTACTCCTACTTCCATCTTTCTGATAAAAGTACTCTAGTCTATGATTAAGCTCATAAAACTCAATAGTATTGTCCATGCATTAAAGGAGAACTCAAACATCAAATATGAATATTAATTAGTACTGAGCATTAAAAGTATAGATCAGACTAAGACGTTCTCTTAGCCTTAGCTGAAAGATTAGAACCATGTGACAGAAGAGAAAATGGTTTTTTTGTATGAAGAACCTGTATGAAACCACGAACACAAGCCTGTGGGAATCTGCCATCTCTTTTTAGCTCTATCTGCCATCTCTCTTCAAGTAGGATATCTCATGCAGTAGGTTTGCTTTTCATTTTTTTAGTCCCATGTCACTCTCCAATCCCTACGTCAAATTCAAGCTAGCGTCCAGTCCCTATTAAACTAAGCTCATTTTCTCTACCAATTGAATTAGAAAATTCACATGCAGCTGTACAGTTTACCTACAGATAATGTAGATTTCCAGGCTCCTGCTCTTCAACTTAAATGTGTAAAGCATTCATAGGATTGAAATTAAGAGATGTGAACACAAAAAGTTAGAGATACGCAAAATAATCATTTTCTTTTTCGCCCCAAGTAGATTCTTTAAGTTTAAGTTGACTGATTTACTTTATAAGTTACTAGCCTCTAGTCTCTCAGCACGTGCTGACGCATGCGCAAGAGGCATTTTTTCAATTACGCGCAATGCGCGACATACAAACTTTTAATCATGCACAAAGACTCAACAAAATATTATTCTTGCGCCTGTTATGCGGATTTTACTAAGAAAACTAGTGAATCTTGTATTTAATCATGGTATAGATATAATTGAATAATGTATAAAAGAGATTGAACAAACCTTATTATTGGTTTTCGTCAAGAGACTTTGACCTATAACTTTGGTTGACAGAAATTGTTTTGAAATGCGCTCGAGTCTAAAGGCTGAGTCACCAAAAGATTTTGTGATATTCGATATAACACAAGCAAAAACGTGTGAGAAACAAAGTCCTAAAACAAATAAATCCCTTCACCACTGCTTGCAAGCATCTTAAATATAATATTATTATATTACAATTAAATCTATTAGGTGAACATTGAAGAAGCAACAATTGACATTACATTCCAAGGCTTTTCAAATTTGGCAACAAAAACATGTGCTTCCCAGCAACTTCGGGATGAAAGCCTGACAAATTCCTTAAGTTTCTAATTTCTTCCAAATGATTGGTTGTGATTAGATAGGTTTGAGTGCGTCATGCGCCCTTCTGTAAACACAGACAGATAAGTTGTCACAGTATAGTTGAATAAAACATGTATCAAGGGAACATAATTAATCACAATTATTCGTCAAAAAAAGCACTTTAGTGCCTATCTACAAGAATACGGCGATATACAAAATTGCATGAACTTTAGGTGTTAGTTTAATGAGTCAACAATGAAGCTCTAGGAGAGAGTAATTGAGCATAGACTTAGGTAAGAGACATGGGTCTCAACCAATCAATTCGGGCTTATGCCAGGAACTATGGAAGAAATCTATCTTGTATGGACATTGAGGGATCGATATAAAGATATGCAAAAGGATTTGAAAATCATCGTTGTAGATTTGGAAAAAGTGTACGATTAGAGAATTTTTTTTGGAGCATTCCAGAGAAAGAAAGGAGTACAAGTAGCATATATCTAAGCAATAAAGGATATGTATGATGGAGTAAGGACTGTAGTAAGAATTCATGAAGGACAAACTGAAAGTTTTCCTATAACCACAGGGTTGCACAAGGCTCAACTTTTAAGTCCATTTCATTGGTAATGGATGAGTTAACGAGATATATTCAAGATGATATCCCTTGGTGTATACTTTTCGCAGATAATATGGTGATGATAGATAAAACGCAGAAAGGAGTGAATGCGAAGCTTAACCTTTGGCAGGAAGTGCTGGAATTTAAAAGTCTTCGCCTAAGTAGGTCAAAGACATAGTATATGGAGTGCAAGTTCAGTGAGAATTGGGATACAAATGAGATAGGGGTGAGGACCGAACATTAGGAAGTACCAAAGAGTGAACTCTTTCGTTATCTTGGATCAATCTTGCAAAAGAACAGAGAATTGAATGTAGATCTCAATCATAGAATACAAGATGGATGGACGAAGTGGAAGAGTGCATCAAGTGTGTTGTGCGATTGTGGTATGCCACTAAAGCTCAAGGAACAATTTGGCAAGTAATGCTTTATGACACAAAATATTGGGCGGTCAAGCATGTGCAAAAAATAAGTGTAGTGAAGATGAGAATGCTTTGTTGGATGTGTGGGCCGATGTTTTAAAAGGCTCGTCTCAGGGCGTGCCTAGGCGGCATCTGAGGCTGGGCGTCAGTGTTCCCACCTCAGTTTTGAGGGAGTGGGCGGAAGGCTTCGGCAAAGCATGTTTGGGCAGTGGAGGCACACCTCAGGGCGTCCGGGGCATTCATCTGGGCATTTTTTTCTTCAAAATCTAGGTTTTCTGAAATGTTTTTTGCCGTTCAAGTTTAAACAAAGAAGGATAGACTTTCTCTCTCCAAATCCCGTAAATTTCCATAATAATTGCTCCATTGAGCCTTTATTTCATTTTACATACCCTATAAATACTCCACTCAACCCTTTATTTTCCTTTAAATTCCCATAATTATTGCTTTATATCATTTACATACCCTAGACTACTCCACTCGGCCCTTATTTCCTTTTAAATTACTTATAATTCCAACATTCAACCTGTATTTTACTTGAAATTTTCCTATAATTGTGACCATTCATCCTTATTTTCCTTGGAAGTTCTCTATAATTGCTTACAATAAAATAAATAATTATAACATTTTGAGACTATATGACATAGTTTCCAAGTACAACTAGACTTAGTAATAAAGAAGATGATATTATCTTTGATTTAGTTATAGTTATATTTGTTTTTACAAAGTATTATATTGTTATAAATATACTTTATATATAATATATATTAAAATTTTAGGTTCCGTGAGGCTTCGCCTCATGCCTCACGTCTCGCGTCTAGGTTGGGCTATCCATTGGACACCTTAGCCATGCCCCTGCCTTTTAATACATTGGTGTGGGCACACGAAAAAGGGTAGGATTGAAAACATGGATATCTGAGGTAGAGTAAGAGTGGCCACAGTAGAAGATAAGATTAAAGAAAATCAGTTAAGGTGGTTTTGACATGTGAAACGAAAACTTACAAATACTTTGGCTAGAAAATGTGATTACCAGACAGAGGCTTAGGGCAAAAGAGGTAAAGAAAAACATAGGGAGACTTGGAAAAGATACTTTAAGAAAAGACATGGAATACTTGGAACTAACTGAAGACTTGGAGCAAAACTGAGCTCAGTGGCGTTCTAGAATTCATACCACCAACCCCCCACTTAGTGGGATAAGGCTTTGTTGTTGTTGTTTTCGTCCAAAGGTAATGCTAGTGAGACTAAATTTGCCGGCAAAATTTTATAAACGAAATGACATGATACTTAAGTGTTGATTAATGTGCTTATTTTTTATTGGTGACACATCATTTAATTGGAAAATTTTGTCTACAAATTTAGTCTACATACTCTTTGGTCTAAAAGACCAAAAACAAATAACCATCATCAAACCAATACCTCTTTGTTAAATCCCTGATGATTGCACACAGAGAAAAACATTCTTGAAACACCAAAAATTAGAACATGCACCTGTAAATGGCATAATGGCTAATGGGGTAAAACCTTAAATCCCTTACTAACCAAAACTAATAGGTATACCTAAGCAACCTCAACCAATGGCATAATGCAGCATTTACACGGTGGGATTGTTCGACAACAAAAATGTCATTGTCTTCCCCTCTCTCTAATGGAAACAACATACCTTCATCACGTTAAAATTAAGTATATACCAAATACGAAGAAATAACATTGAATTGCTGATAAAAGAGAAAGCTAAAAATTGAACAACCCAATAAAATTGAGCGAAGAATCAAACCAAAAAGTTGAATTTCTGCTTGAGTTTTTGGGATATGGAGGCTTGGAGAGCTTGTTCTAAAGTGGAAGAGGGGACAATGATCCATTCCCAAAATGGCAAAATCAAAGCAATGAACTTGATCAAATACCTAACAAAGCAGTGAAATACCTTGGCATATTCTTGGAGCTTTGACAATTTCGATTGCCAAAAGCAATATTCTTTCAAGGTTGGACAATCTGCAGTTTTCACCAAGCAGTTTGGATTTTATTTCTCTACTTTTGCGAAACTGTTTCCATTTACACATTCTCGTTTTTCCATCCTCAGTTTAGACGTCTGCACTGTGCAGCGGACTTGCGTTTGCTTTTCCTTTCTCTGTTTTCTTTCTTGGTTTTTTACTATATTGTCCCCATCTTATGAATTTTTTGTCTTTTCAATTCACTATAATCAAAGGACAGTTTAGGTACTTTCTGAAAATCTAACCACAAGGCCTTCTGCCTTATTAATATAGATAAACAAACGTAAAAATGTCCTTCCAAATATCTAAATTTTACTTGAGTTGGGTTGAAGGAGGTACTTGTATCAACTTAACCTGTGACATCAGATCAATGTTAGCCCCCATTTAACTTTAAGTTTAGTTAAGGGAGGTGATTTCACACCCCCATTTAGCTTCTCATAAGCCCCTCTTTATTTCTGTGCATCGGATTGAATACATCAAACGGAAACAGCCATTCAATTGATATCTCATTGACTACTGTTTATAGGCTTTTGGAAATTTTGATATTAATTGTATGATACTTCTTCCCAGGTTCTGAATGATCCAGTTGACATGCACTGTCCTGTTGTGGAGATGCCTACACGTTCAAAACTTAGTTGCTTGAGCTGGAACAAGTTTACTAAAAACCATATAGCCAGTACTGACTATGAAGGAATAGTAACAGTTTGGGATGTAAATACTCGGCAGGTATATGATTTGACTTATTCTGATAGATTTGTCATGTGTGATTTGAATTTTTATACTTGTTGCATCACTTTCAGTTTTTTTTTGCTCATGCTTAAACTTTTTGACAGAGTGTCATGGAATATGAAGAGCATGAAAAACGTGCTTGGAGTGTTGATTTTTCATGCATAGACCCCACGATGCTTGTATCTGGTAGTGATGATTGTAAGGTACTCCGAAAATCTTTATAATCTTGAACCAAGTATTTTATTATGATTATGTGACTGGAAATGTAGTACCTCTCTCTTTTCGGATAAGCAAAGAAGTATTATTCTATATGCACCATTTTTTGCTTATAAAATTGTTAGTAAGAAATTTCTGAGAACACCCAAAAGGGGCAAAATACTATATTTTAGTATGGTAGTAATTATTGTTGCAAGTGACTTTCGGGTTTAGGCAAAATGCTATATTTGCCATGCTTGTCCTAAAGTTGCCTTGGTTGGTTTACGCTTACAAAATAGTTGATGTATGCTTGTATCTAATTTATTCACTATATACAGGAGGCTAAATTGATGTGTTGTGTGTGTACAATGTTGATGTGTCCCTTGGTTGTGGAACTGTTTCCGATGTTTTAACTTTTAAAAGTACCAGTAAATAATTTTTTATAACAATGTTAAAACAATAGTTGTATGCTTGCGTTAAAATTGGCTTGGTTCAGGCTAACATGACTACAATATTCTTACCATTTGACCGTCAGAATTTAAGTGAGCAATTTTGAGTGATACGTACATTTGCTTTCACCTTTTTTGATGCTCAAGGAAGTGTGCATTATAAACTAACCACATCCTCTATTCTTTGTATAAAATTCAGGTAAAACTTTGGTGCACAAGGCAGGAAGCTAGTGTTATTGATATTGACATGAAAGCCAACATATGTTCCGTCAAGTACAATCCGGGATCCAGCAACTTCATTGCGGTATGCACCTTTCATTGCCAATATTGGAGAAAAGTTATGGCACGCTATCTGGTTCATTGTTTGATCTTGTTTAGTTCTTAGATGATTTGAGTGCAACCTTGTGCTTTGCTCACTTAATTTGCAGTAATATACTGTGCCTGAGCAATGCACTGGACTTACATGTACATACGCTAATGTGTGCATGCACACATCTATTGAGTTTTTATTCAACATCCCGTTATTTGGGGGGGGGGGGGGGGGGGGGGGGTATGTCGTGTATAAAAATTCATACATGATATGTCCTGTTATTTACCATAAAGTAAAGCTGAAACCTTTTCCTCCTTCTGGCTTTTCCAGGTTGGTTCAGCAGACCATCACATCCACTATTATGATTTAAGAAATCCGAGCGAACCACTCCACGTGTTCACTGGGCATGGGAAAACTGTTTCTTATGTAAAATTCTTGTCAAACTATGAGCTTGCCTCTGCATCCACTGATAGCACGTTGCGGTTATGGAATGTGAGGGATAATATTCCAGTAAGTGATTATGCCTTGAAGAAAACTCACTTTGGTACACTTAATATAGTTAACGAGTTATTATATGCTCTAATCTACACGGAAAATAAAACTAATTGAGAAAATGAGAATAGAATGGACTCGTTGACATCATCTTATGAAACTTATTTATCGATTAACTAAGTTGTACTCTTCATCTGTGTTTTGTTTGAAGGTTCGTACTTTTAAAGGTCACACAAATGAGAAGAACTTTGTAGGTCTTACAGTAAACAGCGAGTACATTGCGTGTGGCAGCGAAACAAATGAAGTGTTTGTGTATCATAAGGTTAGTGGCATTCAAAAAATACGCCATTCCTGCATTTTGTTAACTTGTGATTAACTAAAAGTTTCCGGTATAATTTGTCAGGAGATCTCTAAACCTGTGACTTGGCATAAATTTGGGTCGCCTGATTTGGATGACACAGAGGATGATGCGGGGTCGTACTTCATCAGTGCTGTATGTTGGAAGAGTGATAGCCCTACCATGCTAACTGCGAACAGTCAAGGAACCATTAAAGTGTTGGTTCTTGCGGCATAGACAACAACTAAATGGAAACTAAAAGAAGGATTCACGAGGAAGAAAGTTGTTGCTGCGATTGTTTGTAAGCGATATTCGGATGTTGACGTGTAAATGCTAGGATTGAGTTGAGATGCAATGTCAGTGGAAAGTTTTATTATTTGTTATACAGAAGATACTAAATGTGCCAAAGGAAGTGAAAATATATAGCAATAATATCATTGATTACCGAGTGTCCTTGTGTATTATGAGCCTGTGTGCCCGTCCTTTCTTGAGTTCTACAGATTTCTTCATCCTCAACAGATTCATGTATAATTGCAGTAAAAATTTAGTTTTTTGAAATTCAGTGTAATTTTTATTATTTTGTTTTATCATATGATTTCGTGTTGTAGTTAGGTTGATTAAGCAAACAAAAGCTAATACCGTGGGTGTGGATGGGAATCTAACGGTTGTGAGTTGTTGAGCTCGCGCGTAGAACCGAGTTTTGTGACCCAGTGTAATTCATACTTTTTTTTTCACTGGGTGTGTTTTTGTCAAAGAGAGGGAAAGCTAAGGGTTTATTAAGAGGAAGCTGGTGTGAGTAGTCGAATTGAGGTGGATTGAAGCTCCATTTCGATTGTGACTCGGTAACCATATACCTTTTATTTTTTTTGGTTCACTGCGTGTGACTTTGTCAAAGAAAGAGGGAGAATTGAGGGTTGTATTTGCGGGAAAGAGAGACAAAGAGGGAACTGGTGAAGGGTATGAGTGCTTGATTTCAGGTGGATTGAAGCTCAGTTTGGATTGGAGTTGACAAGGGTGGTTTGTCCACAACCTTTGAAGAAACGCAGATTGTGAAGGGCAGTTTTATGGCGTGAGTTCATCCAAATCCCACATATGCGAAGACGTTGTGTGAAGAAACTGTGATTAGAGTGTTGTCATCGTCGCGTTCACTGTGACGGTAACTAGTTCAGTCAATTGGTCGAAGTGTTGCAGGCTGTACGTTTCACTTCCATTTCCGTTCTATTTTGGTTCTAAAAACCAACTTTGGGTACGTTTGTAAGATATTTATAATTTTGGGTTTGAATCCATAATTTTGTGATGAGTTGTGGTAAGTTGTGTAGATTTGTAACAAGTAGTTATTAAATTGTAATTTAAAATTAGTACTAGGCGGAATATCATGTATATAAAAATTATAATCTGCTGGACTAACTAGTCAAGCCCGCTAGTCAACTAAGATAGATTTGTTAGTCAATAAATCAAAGATTCAATAACCAATTTCAAATACCAAAATCTATCCTAGTCAGCAAGGCCTTAGTTCATTTCAAGTTATTAATGTGTCAAGTGAACATGTTGTGAGCATATACCAATTAAATATTCAAGTGATACACGTAGCATGTATATGTACGTGAGATATGGACACAATATAAATAACTTTGGACACAAGATATTTTTAGCTGGACATACCCACCTCTGGGTTAAAAAACTAGGGACTCTCCACTGGTGTAAACAAGATTCTTACAAAGTAACACGAAAAACCCAATTCATGGACCTAGTCTATGAAGTAGTTTTACCTTTGTGCAACATTGCCTTACACGAGAAGGATTCCTTCAATCTTCACGAAGTCGCAGCTCCTCTTGTGCTCTTCACTTTAAGGCACGGAAATGGAGTCATCTCCAGTCTTCCCAAGATGGCAGCTCCTCCTAAATTCTTCACCTTGTGGCACTGAGATCAACACCAACAAATGCTATAATGTTATGATATGCTTACAAAAATCTAGATTCAAACAACTAGTCATATTCTCAAGTCAAACAGTTGAAGAAAGAACCTAATGTGAATCCAAATGCATGGTCTACAAAGGATTTAAAACTTAAATCTAGACCAAGAACTTAATGCAAAACCTTAAACAATGCAGCCTTAATATGCAATGATTTGGTGTTTAATGCGTGAACTTGGTTTTGTAGCTAGGGTTTCATAAATGGGGAGGAATAAGAAGGTAGAAGCATAAATGCTTTCTCTCAAACTTCTCTCTAGATAGAAATGTACCTGGAAACCCCCAGAATCAAAGAACCCTAGCTGGGGATCTTAACCCCAAAAGCATCAGTTTGTTTTTCACCTACCAAGGACACTTCTTGAACTACAAACTGATCTGAAACGATCAAGGGCTGAGATTTGACCATCAACAAAAAGCTATCAAAAAGCCCATGTGGGCAGACCTTAAATTGTGTGCCCAGCAGCTGGAAATTGGTGGGCAAAACTGATGAGACAACTAAGCTAGTCAGGAAGTAACAGGAATTTAAACATGAAATGCACATGCATGACCAAACCTTTTGAAGTGAGATGTGCCACAACCTTGAACGTTTATTCCCAGCAGCAGTAGCCCATAATCAAAGAATAGTCTAAAGCAAGATTAAGCATGTGGTACAATTACAATGTTGATAAGCAAAGCCAAACCTAAAAGTCCAAACTTCACATTATTCGATGAGGGATGAGTTAGAAATAGACGAAATCATCAAGGAAGCATAAGATGTAGATGCAGGAGATCAATTTGCTGCATGGAGGGTTGTATTTGTGGTACCAAATACAAACGATGAGTTGAAACTCAAAGTGAAAATAGAGTTTGATTCATTAGACGAAGGGTATATTGTTTACAATAATTATGCACTTGCAGTTGGGTTTGCGATTCGGGAGTATAGTAATAAACAGTGTAGTGATGTTAATTGTTTGGTAAGAAAGAATTTGTTTGTTGCAAACAAGGAAAAAATAGGATGGATGCTAATCCCAAAAAACAATAAAAAAAAATAAAAAAAAAGGTAGAAGGGGAGATACTAGAAGTGATTGCAAGCCAAAAATTGTGTTATATAAGAAAATTGGTTGCGATAAGTTTGTTATTTAAAGTAGCCACATCCCTTTTGGTTATGAAGGCTGAATGGATTAACAGAGAGTTGACATAAATGTTAATTTTGGGTTTCAATCTTTACGGACTTCAGGGTTTAAATCCTAATTTTTTTTAGCACATGACTATCTTTCAATTACCTTATCATCACGCGGATCATTAATTCAATTTAGCCTAAATATTATCATTCAAGAAATGAGATGTGTGTTCTTACTTGGAGATGCAAGTATTATTATCCTAATTGTATTTAACATCGTATTTCAATTTGCATATAACTCGTAATATTAGGACACTAGCGAATATCCTTTTTTCGTTTTTGTCTCTCTTCCTCCTCTCTCTTTCCAAAACAATAATAAAATAGCAGAGGAGAGAGAAGAAAGAAGAGAAAAGCAGCTCCTTGATTTTCATTCTCTCTAAATTTTCCCCATAAATTGTAGAAATAGAAAAACGAAAACTTAGAGAGGGATGGGGAAAAGAGATGACAGTTGGGGGCGATATGAAGGTGGTTGGTGCAGAAGTGGGATTCGATAATAGTAAGTTCCCGTTGATCTTTTGGGAGGTGGCCGTGGCTTCCACCGTCGTATTGGGCTTCTTGTTTGGCCTTCTGGATGTTTAAGCTTCTATTGGGGTGCAAAGCTACATAAGAGGGGTATAGTTTTCATCGTTATAGTCACCAACCACTTCTTCCTAAGTTGCGGTGCAAGGGCTCGATTGAAATAAATGATTAATTAAACCAAAGAGTGATTCCTATGCACATTTAGGCAGAAAAAGCATGTTTACAAAATGTGGAACTAAATTTGCAGGCAAATCATAAGTGTTCCTCAATTCAAGATTTATCAACCAATTCATGTAGTTCTACCAACCCCTTCCATCTTGCCTAAAATTCTTGTTTATTTTCAATATCCCGCATACACTCATGCAAATCCTTGAAAATGCCCTCAACCGAACCCTTGTCATTGAATTTGTTTATAATATGCCATATGCAGTACAAATGAAAATTTGTTAGTTTGTTGCCTATCGCCTTTGCTGTGGCTCCATCTTGATCTATAATTATGATTTTTGAATGCTCACTCATTATAGATTTAATGAATTCTTCAAGCAACCATTCAAAGCTCTCGGTCTTTTCATTTTTCAAGAATGCACAACCTAATATCGTGGTTTGACTTAGCTATTAACTCGTAACAAATAAGCAAAATCATCTCGTACACATTGGTGTTGAACATGGTCTCAAACACAATCACATCACCAAAATGACCAAACCATGTCGTGAATTAGAATCTACCCAAAAGAAATTGTCAAGTGTTCTGCCTTCCTCAATCTCCTTCTTGAAATAGAATGACTCATTTTTCTCTTTCTCATCCTCAAAATGCTCTTTGACCAATCTCGCATCATGCCCGATTAAATGAGCTTGCTGTTACTCTTTAGCATTATACATATCCTTGGGGGGTGCAACCAATATTTTCAATTCCTCCACTTTGCACCTCCAATAAACCCACTTGTTTACTAATGAAAATATTTGCATGCACACATTTCCAATCATTGTCTTCTTTGCCTCCGAAACTCGGTGATGAGATCTAAATAAGTGTGAGGCACTTTCCATAAGGTGGTAGTGTCATTCCTTAAAAACTACTACAACAAACTTTTCATGGCTAATTCCTTTATACAACGCAATTTTCGCCTTACAGTCACATCTAGCACCTCCCCTCCAACCTTGCCGATTGGGTTTGAAATTAACATCCACCCTCTTTTTGCTTTGATTGCAACAAACAAATTCTTTACTTACTAAACAATCACCATCATTGCATTTTTTTTTTAATATGCTCCCAAATCCCAATGTGACAACTCGTCCCTAATTTTACGTTTTATAAATCTTAAAAATGTGAATTTATGAAAATGACCTAAAGGCGAGGGTATTGACTTTCGTTGACCAACATATAGTGAGACGTACGAAATATTCTTTTAGCGTATTCTTGAAGTACTCAACGATACGAACGCGTAAGTACAAGCAGAATCGAAATCAGATCTACAGTTAAAGTTTTACAGAGCTACAAATCCGAAAGTATTTTGAAGGAATCTTTTGTTTATATTATACTATTTTATACTACTAAATTGTTATGCCACATGTGTGTGGCTAAGAGGGGGGAAAGAAAGGAATCAGGGAGGAGAAGAAACAGAGGAAAAGGGATTGGGTAAAGCTGCACAATCGAAGGAGAAGAGAGGAAGATAAGGGAGGAAAGTCAGACCAATTAGGCGAAGGGTCAGGAGGGAAATGAGAGAGTGGGAGATGTAGTCAACCCAGATCCACCTTGACCCGTTTCTCGTGCACGACTTGGCCGACTTCCACCATGTTTTTCGAGG